TCGGGCGCCGTTACAGTGGAGTTTCTCGTGGAGGGTCCCGTTCGATACGTATTCGAATACGAGTACTCCTTGGTCTGCAACAATAAAAATTCGGAATTCGTTAATGAATTTGTCTAAATAAAAAATTTACCCAATTTTTATTTTAAACTCACCTATTTCGTTAGTTATTATTATTATATACAGTAGGTTACAAAACTATAGCAACTTCAAAAGAAATATAGCAGCAACTTGTAACGAAGTAATATCATATGCCAACTAATTTAGTTGGGCATTTTGGGTTTTAATAATGATTTAAAAAAGTTGATGAGTTCAACCATAATTAATTTGGTTAAAAATTGGGTTCATAGGTCAAAAAAAAAAAAAAAAAAAGCCACAGACGCACACACAAAAGTTTATCTAGGAGATAGTGAGGGATCGCTTAAACTCACCGCCGTCATCGGAGTAACCGAGCAGCTCGACAATATTGGGATGAGTCGCGTGAAGCAAAACATCACGCTCCTGAAGAAAAGCGCGGTAAAGCCTCTCGCTGCTGTGCTGGACTTTAAAAGCCGCGAGCGTAAAGTTACCGGTGACGACTCTCATTCGTCCACGCACGCGAACTTCCTAACCGCCGAAACGACGCCATTGCCCACGTCGCCCGCACGCTTCTCCAAGTCATCGTCGCCGCGGCAGCAGGGTACGATGCACCTGCGGAGGAACATTAGGAGGAGGAGGGGGTGCTGACGTCGCGAGGGAGAGGGAGAGGGAGAGGAGGAGAGAGAGAGAGACGCATACAATGAAGGGGAGTGGGGGGTTTTTGTATTGGGGAATTGGGAGAGAGGTCCCAAGAGAGATCTGGATCTCAATAATGGAAACTCTAGAATAATGAGAAAATGATTAAAAAAAAAACCCTGCGCTATTGGGTAACGGTAATGCGAAGGTAGGAGAGGGGGGGAGGATGGAGGGATTAATTTATAGGAGGTAGTGTTTTGTAATTTTTGGAACGAGGGCGGGGGTTCTATTAACTTAATTTAATTTAATTTAATTTACGCCATTGAAATTAGGGTCCATGAGATTTAGAGGTCAGTCATTTTGGGGCTTGCGACGTGGTTGTTAGGTCCTCTCGAGCGTCATCCTCCATCTTTCGTTCCTTTCTTACTTTTTTTCCATCTTTAATATTCTTTCCTTTATCTTGAAAAAGAGGCTTTCTTGGTAGCAATGAATTATGAGCATGTGTATTGCCAGTGATTCAATGAACAATAATATTAGTTTATTGGAAATTATTATGAAACCATTGAATGGTTCAATTTAATTATTAGAGGTTCGGCTCATTTTGCTGTGAATATATAGGTTCATCGGACCACTTAGTTGTAAGACATATTAGATAATTGTATCAGAGCAAATGCATCTAAATTAAGCTAACTGAAAAAAATAAAAACAAAAAAAATAGAATTCATGTAGTTAACAGTAAAAATTTAAGATATATAAATGTATCTATATTTTGAGTCGTGCACATTCAAGCGTTTCTCTAAAATGCATGCTGCTGCAATCGATTATTCCTCAAATATTCGACTTTTACATCTACATCTTAGATGTTGAGTATTAAATCCAATACATAGAGAAACAATAACTAGTTGAGATCCAAATTGAGGAACAATGTACACACTTGAATATGTCTTAGAAGATGAATTGGTAGTTTGTAGAACTAACCTTTTTTAGTAACATATCTATCTCACGATATTTCATTAGCGACGGTGACTCAAATTCCGAATCCATAAATGAAGTTATCTAACGTAAAAGGATATCTGTGGTCACGTTACAATAATAATGGAATTGTCTTTTCATCTCCAATGCAATGACACATGCAAAAGAATAGTCCAATCGCCAACATCTTTTTCATCAAAAGAAAACAACAATGTTCATTAATTTGGCTAGCAAACGGGACAGTTAAGGGTTACAGGCTTTTGACCCCTTTCTAATTTTTTTTTTGGAAGAACTTGCTTAGATTCTAGCGGATGTTAAGAGTAAGAGCAAGATTTGGAAGAATATGTGAGGAGAGAGAAAGAGAGTATATTTTTTTCAATTGATAGTAGTATATACTTCTGGCTGGTCAAAAGAAAGCTGCAAAAGTCACCAACCACATTTTTTTCCCTCCGTAGTGTAGATCGTGACTTTACTTTAACGACAAGGCCAAGGTAAGGGAAGAATTTTGTGTGACTTGAGAGAGAATTTTTTTTTTTTTTAAATTAGTGTGGAGTATAAAGATGCCTTTTACTTTTTTACTTCATTTATTTATTTATTAATTAATACACAAAAGAGAGCTCTGTTTCACAAGAAATGCCGGCATATGTAGATATTGAGCATTGATAGCGATTGAAAAGTAGACGGAGTAGTACCGATTAAAGGTGTTTTTTTTTTTAGATTTTCACTTGTACATAAAGTTAATATAATAAAGTTGTATCATGTTAGGATATATAACTATAATTCTCAAGCGAGAATTTTTGATATAATGGTTAAAAGGACATTCATATGTTATTAGAGCCAACATCTGTACGAATCTTATTGGTCACGAATTTGATGTGGATTTAAAATTTTTTTATCGCTACGTGAGTCAAAAAATATAGCGTTTGACCTGCGGGGGTATGTTAGAATATAAAACTAGGAGGTATGTTAAAATACAAAACCTCCATAGCCCTCCAGATTTATCATAACTTCATAGTTTTAACAAATTAGATCTCCAGAAGTAAAATTCTAGTTTTGAACCAATTTAGATCTATAATTAGAAGGTGGTTACATACTTTCATATGATCATTTCTTTAAACACCTTCTCGAATGTCCAAAAGTGGGGAAATCCAAGACTTTCGTTGACATCTTTATTTCAATTGGAAAAAAAAGGAGCCATGACGTGTATTGTGAGCCTCTGTTGAATTTGTTGAGTTCTTGAGTACATGCTAAAGGGAAAAGCTTTAATTTTTAGGGAGGAGACTACTTTTGGAGAAAAATTAAAATCTAATAACACTATATTTATGCGAATAAAAGAGAGAAATTAAAATGGGCTTCGTAGTTTGAGTCCGTGTCTTATAATATATGACATCCCAACCTATATGATGTACATCTCTCATCTTTAACATATTCTAAACACGCGAGACTTGTTGATACAAACCACTAACCGAGTCTTTACCCTTGTGAGTTGTGCTCTACAGAATCAAATTAAAAAAAAAAAAAACAAAGGCAGTGATGCTATAAATCATAATATATTGACAAAAATGGAAAACTAAATCTAATTCAAAACCCATGAATAAGACACTTTCCTACCTCCTAAATTAAGCCGCCGGCAACATTATAAAAGCCAAAAGCATTGAAAATGTGCATAGGCTATTCATAATACTACGAGCCTACGATGTATATAATCTTAGAGATGAAGTAGCTTCTGACCTATCAATTCTAATTGTCATTCTAAATATTTTTCACTACATAATAATGCGTATCAGCAAAAAAATTACAATATAAGGATCAGAGAATAAAGTTTCTCACATGCATTCTTTATTGAAGATATCTTTTTCTTAAAAAAAAAACAAAGAATATATCTTTTAAGCATATCGGTACACTTTTTACAAATACAAATATCATAAAGAATATTAAGCTGGCTTCAAGTCCAAAAGTATTTCAAAATTCTAATATCTACGAAGCAATTTTATTATTATTACGATGAGTAGTCAACTAAATCAACTATTTACTCACATTCGCACTAATTTAAGAAGATGCAAATACATGAATGTATATATATATTCTTCTTAGACTAATGTATCACGTACATAGTAATTTGCTTTCAATGATTGGTAGCCCCAAGTGGTCTGCGAATGCAGTGGCAATTTTTGTGCCTTGGTAAGGTTCCCCTTATATCCAAAATAAATAAATAAATAAATAAAATCAACTTATATTCTTGCCTGATTTTTTTGTTCTACAGTTAACATCCATCACTCCTGTTGAATTCTTTTTTTCTTTTTATTTATTATTTCGAAAGGGCGGCAGATCGTCCCGGCCCACTATAAGCCCAATAACATGCAACAATGTGTTTGTTTTACATTGAAGTTGAGGCTACAAGGGCCCAGTATAGCTCTAGCTTCTTGGGCCTTAGGTCCACATACTGCCCCAATATCCCTCGGTGTGTTTACTTGTTTGGTTTTGGTCAGGGAAGGCAATTGTCCATTCCTATTTACCTACCTGGCCCGTTCATTTTTGGCCCGTTTAAAGCTCACTCGTTTAGTTAAATTGGGTTTCATTTACCCGCCCGTATTCCCACAACCAAAACCCTAAAACCCCTAAAATGTCCTCTTTCTCTTTCTAGGGCAGCTGAGCTCCTCATCATCCCGATCCCAATCCCTCCTCCTCCGCCTCCTCCTCCGCCGCCTCAACCGCCTCTCGAACCCAGAGGCTCCGACGCCGCCTCCGCCACGGCATCACCTCTTCCGCTGAAGTCGCCGCCACTTCCTGCGATAACAATCTTTCTCTCAGGTGAATCCCAATCTCAAATATTTCGATAAAATTCAGTCAAAAATTTCTATCTAAATTCTAAATGCACATATCGTGATCTCGGATCTAGGTTTTGCCCTAAAAATTTGACCGTTCCTTTCATGTGAAATTTTCTGTGTTCATCTGTGCATAAGATTTTTTTTTTTGCGTTTTTTAAAATATATTTGTTTCTTAATTTACTACAATATAGTGTATGCATTTTTTGGACTATTTTTGTGTAATTAGCTATATTCAAATATGCTTATATATAAGATTATTTTTATATCAAAATTTAGGTAATAGAAAGGGTAGAGTGATCAGTTAATTCATCAATGAAAAAACAAAATTTAGAAGTTTTACATTAGTTAATTACCTACAAATTGAGCAAGATGATAAAAAATTGGGATAATTCAATGGATTTAAATCACCATAACTCATGCCAAACTTCTTACAGAGTTTCTTTACCTAATACAAAAGAAATTAAAATGCTATTATCTACAAGATTTTAGTTAGTATATTGGTGAAAAACATTGTAAGGCATAGTTAATTTACTAATATTTTTAATGAAAAAGGAGCGTGAACAGCTGGTGTGATGTGCTGATTCTAGAATAAAGCCACAGTGAGAGGGAAAGCTATTATGCCGTAAATGAAGAGAGGACCAACTTGCTCACTGATATTTTTTTTTCAATGGAAGAATAAACAAGGAAATGACTTTATAAGAGCCTAAAGAACTAAATAACAAAGAGATGCAATATAGCTTAATGCGCAAATATTAGCTTACATTGTTGAAGATTCTTCTGATATCTATTTGTTAATTTATCATAAACGTTATAGCATATATGCATGTGAAACACGAATGGTAAAACAATGGTAATACTATCAAGTCACTGGTATTAGAATATGAAATTATTACCCTCAAATTCAATAAGGACTTTCAAACCATATGACATCAACCCATTTTCAAATTTTATGCGACCTAGCCTCTACTTAAAGCTCATTAGCTCCTCCTGGTTAGACTTGATTTCTCCTAGCATAAAAGGGGCACTCGACTCGGGGGGAACTTGCTAGGTTATAAAGTTATAATCCTAATTAAACCTCATCAAATCTTCAAAATTGAGATGTAATATCCTACAAACTAGTACAAAAGTACAAATGCTAGAATGTTACGTTTCAAGAAGAGCAAGAGAAGAAAAGTAGGTTGGATGTATTTATTTGTGGAGATCAGATACGCAAAGGGGCTCTTTTCCAGTAGTAATATGCTTATTTGATAATATTGCATCAGTTGTGCACTCAATTATTTTCTTTTGTTGGAGATGCTTTACTTCAACAACATCAGGTTACATTAGTGAGATCTTATATCATTAGTTCTCAACCAATTTTTGTATACCCAAATTCATTAAATAGCTAATCTTTATGTTTGTAGGAATTTGTATGTTTATCATTTATCATAAATTATTAATATGTGATCAAAGTGCATGGAGCTACCTTAGTATTGGTCCATTTGATGTTAATATCCTTCGAAGATTATTCTACTCATTTACTAGCGCAAACATAAACATAAAGAAGGAAACCAACAATTTCTAGCATATAAAAACTTGTGAAAGATTGTTTTCTTTTCTGAAAGATGAGTAGAAAGCAAATGGTCCAATAGTATATATCGCAGTATTACATTTCTTTGGGCCTTTAGGATGTTTTTTGGGGAATATTTCCTTTCTGAAAAGTTGGGGAGATAAATTTTCTTTTATCAGTTTGAAGATCTCATGTTACTTGCTAATCCCTTTTACTAACTTTCCTATGGTTCTAAAAGTTATGATGTTATGATGTTTTGATCTACATCTAAACATTTCTTTGGGCCTTTATGATCACATGTCCGATGTAAATGTCTGTTTTCAGTAACAAATTGGCCAAAGTGTCTCTGTTCTCGCTTCTAGCAGACCGAACCTTCCAAGTGATTCATGAAACAATGAAATATCGTGAAAATTCCAGTCTGTATGGTCCATACTAGATTCCCTTGGACCCTTTGCCATTTGCATACCTCCTAACATATACAAGGTTTTAAATGTCGGCCGACATGTCCGACATGTCGGCCGACATACCGGTTTGAGAGCTTGACCGACACGACATGGACGTTTTCAACTCGTATGTCGGTTTTCAGAGCCAAATCGGAAATATCAGGGTCATATCGGGCATATCGGCCTATTTTTTAGCTTTAAAAAATCGGCCGATATGGTACTTTTTTTTAAGATCTGTTTTTTGTTATCAGGTTTGAATTTAGTGATAAATATCCAAACCCATTTGACCCGTTCTCATGTTTAAGGGTTTCTTATGAACCAGATAGAAAGAATTTATGAACCCAAATCCATATATTATTTACTTTTTTATATGTTTAGTCCATAGAATTTATAAAATCTTCTTATATTGAATATATGAATGCTTAGATTACATTTAGGACATGATATTATACATATACGTATTACCCGATATGACAATCCGATATTTAGTTAATATCCCCCGATATATCCCCGATTTCCGCTATCCGACATGGATTTCAGCCATCCGACATGAACATGACATCCGACATTTAAAACCTTGAACATAAATGGAGGCTTGAGCATCAAGCCTCTCTTAGCAGTTATCAATAAATGTCTACCAAAGGTTCATGGTTGTTATTTGTTATATGTTTTGTGCCACTTTTATTTTGCTTAGTTGTAATTTAAGAGTTTCTTTATTATGTGTTTGCTATCCAAAATTGATGTGCTATTAAATTAATTTTTTCAGCTATCATGTCTTTAAATGATCAATTTAGCATCTATGATAATTGTAGTGATGATGAGAGTACTTCTAAACGTAAAAGAGGACAAACATCAAAAGTTTGGGATCACTTTACAAAATTACCTACCGATGATGACGAGAAAACTAAAGTTCAATGTAATATGTGTAATCATATTTATGTTGGTAGTCACGACACTAAGACAATGTTGAGGCATATGGATTCTTGCTCGAAAAAAAACTTAGATGAGGCTGATTCTTCAAGGAAAAATATGCTACTAAATCAAGAAAAATATAGAGAAATGCTTGCTAGAGTAATTACATTGCATGGTTATCCATTCATTTTTGTCGAACATCGAGGAAACCGTGAGTTGCATATTTTTTAAAATTTAAAGTCAAACATATTTCCACGAACATTGCTAAAACAGATTTGGTCAAGTTGTACAAGAAAGAGAGAAAAACTTAAACATGCTTTAAAGATCGTTCCTAGTAGAAATTGTCTAACCACGGATTTATGGATCTCTTCCACCTCCAACTACTATATGTCTCTCACTGCAGATTATGTTGATGACTGTTGGATGTTGCAGAATAAGATATTAGCTCTATCTCATGTTCCACCCCCATATAGTGGAGCAATTCTAGTAGAGAAGCTATTTCATTTGTTGAAGGATTGGGGTATTGAAAATAGAATTTTTACTGTTACTTTGGACAATGCAGCATATAATGATGCTTTCATGAAAATTTTAAAAGACCATCTAGTTTTAGAAGATCATTTTGTTAGTAATGGTGATTTTTTGCATGTGCGGTGTTCTCATATTCTAAATATTGTTGTGCAAGATGGGCTAAAGGTTATTGATAAATCATTGTCTAAGATAAGAGAATGCATCAAGTATGTGAAGAGTCTCCTGAAAGAAAAAGAAGTTTGCAGAGTGCATTGCACAAACTTAATTGAAGCTGTTAATGAACTTAAATAAAGCAATGGTAATGTAAAGTTTGTGTCAATGTGATTTGTATCATGTTCTCATGTGATATATTATTGTATTTATTAGTATTTTATCACAAACCAAGCATCAGGTCATGAGTAGCGATTGCTGGTTTTAGCTCTTGAAGTTTGGATTAAACTCTACATTTTTGTTCTTTATTGTAAATATATATGTTACACAGAGCCTAATATATTATGTATTACATTATCTGTATATTTGCTAATAAAATTCTTTTGACTCATTTGTTGAATAAGAATTCTATTTTTAGTTTCTAATTCTCAAAGAATTCTATTTGGGAAAAAGAACTCTTAGAAATTCTGCAAAAAAACCCTCAAAAGGTTGTAAACCCCCCCAAAAAGTTTGCAAAAAATACTCAAAAAATCTGCAAAAGACCCGTAAAAAGTTTGCAAAGAGCCCAAAAATGTTTGCAAAACACCCTAAAAAGTTACAAAAAGTCCCCAAAATTTTGCAAACCCCCCCAATAGTTTACAAAAAGCCCCCCAAAAGTTTACAAAAAACACCCCAAAAGTATTATATATATAGCTATTATAGTTAAATGGGCAAATGAGTGACCCGTTTATTAAATGGGTGGGCAAAAACCCGCTCATTTAGTAAATATTAAATGTGCCATAAATGGGTAAATGGGCAAAATATGCCCACCCATTTATGGTCCGTCCATTTAATACCCAAACCCACCCATTTAACACCCCTAGGTTCCGTTCTGGTCCTTCGCCCTGAAATCTCCAGCGATGTTCTCCTCGGCTCCCAACAACCGTCCTCCGCCCTCGATCGACATTCTCCTCCTCCGCACCCAGGGCTCAATTGTCATCGTCCCTTTTAATTTACTTTGTTCGCAGTAGTAGGTTATCTCTAACTTGGAATTTATTGCATCAATAAATTAAAATAATTGAATAGGATTATTCTCTGTCTCCTTCAGACCCCGAAGGACCCTAAACCCTAATCGCTAAATTCTCACGGGGAAAAATGGCTTATTTTCGAAGCTCTCATCAAGCACTCCGTCGCCTCATCGGCCAGCACCCAAACCCTAGCTCCGATCGCATCACTAATTCCTTGCTCTTCAGTGCCCAAGGCCTTCGATTTAGAAAGCTCGATGTCATTCTCACGACGGTAAAATCAAAATTTAGAAAAAAATTGAGTTTTTTTTGTATTGATTTCGATCTGATTTCGTTTGTGTTTATTTTTGTAGACGATCGATAAATTGGGGAAAGCTGGAGATACTGTGAAAGTAGCACCGGGGTATTTTCGTAATCACTTGATGCCCAAATTGCTTGCGGTTCCTAATATTGAGAAGTTTGCTTATTTAGTTCGAGAGCAACGCAAGGTTTGGCTTCTAATTTTGATTTTTGTTCTGTGTTTACTTTACACCACATTGGAGATCTCTTGAAAAGTTCTAAAACTGCTGAAAGCTGTGGAACTAAAGTGAGTGTTCCCTAATGTAGAGTTTAGAATGTCACCATCTTGAACGAGCTATGATCTAAAACATATCACAGGATTATGGTCTCTTGTTTTTCCTTCAATATTAGGAGCTGAGGATCTCAAATGAAAATGCGGTGAAATTGAACCAGGCTAACTATTCATGGATTACCATAGAAAGATGTTCGTAAAATGTTGTCAACGAAAATATGTAGATCTAATTAAATTCGACAGTCTATGTCTGAGGATAATCCTCTTTAAGTCCGGTCCTTCATCTTCAGATCGTACAAGTACTCATGTTTAAAAGAAGACTATTAAGTATGTGAAAAATGGAAGTGCAAAGGCAAGTGGAAGAATATAGGATGTGATGTAAAAAAGAGGAAAAAATAGGAGAACTATTAAAAAAAATATTTGAGAAACTATATCTTAGATGCAATGGATTGTTGTAGTGATTCCCGATGAGGGGACACACCACGTATTGGAGGCAAGAGGGATCCCGATACGATGAATGTTTAAGGTCAGTTGGGACACCATTATGAAGCATACACCAGCAGTAAAAGCCTGTTTTTGGAGGCATCCATTTGTTCTAAAGAACCCTATTCCACCAATCCTAAGAACTTCGCACTCTATTCACATATTTATAGGTCAATGTAGAGAACTCCTTTGCAGGTGTATGAAACCAACATAGACGGTGCTTGACCGAATTTATCATGTTAATAGGAGTAAGCTTTTCAAGACTCAGTTTACAAAATTCCTCGACATTACTCATGAAGGTTGCCATCTATCTGAGCTTGAGCAAAAGAAATAGATGGTCAAGGGACTACTTGTCTCCAAAGGACTGATCCTGACCAATTCTCTTAAAAAGAAACATCTTGAGAGCTAGTAATTCAAGCTGAATTTTGAGAGAAAAGAAATATGAGGCTAACCATTTGCCAAATGTGAGAAACATAGACATATTTTCGATCCAATGGATATTTACTATGCATTAAAGATGCCCAAAGTGAATCGCCTTGAAGACAAGACTATGCCAACTTGGCATGCAGGCTCCGCATAGACCGTGAAAGAGAAGTAATTCCAAGCCTTCCCTCAAAAGGAGTGCAAACAGTGGACCTAGAAACCTAATGGTGCTTCTGATTATCAGTGCTACATCATAAGAAATTTGCAAAAGTACGCTCTATACAATCAAGAGTACCTTTTGGAACTAGTAGAATAGATAGCACATGAATCGGAATGGGGCATAAAGTGCTTTTAATGAGCAAGACTTTTAATGAGCAAGACTCCAACCAAACGAGAGCAATCTTGCTTTCTAACCATTTAGGTGTTATCGCACAGAAGACCCCTACTCCAAAAATAAGAAACCCTTGCCTTACCCTTGAAAAGAGGGGCTCCCAAATACCGAAAAGATAGAGCTCTATGAGAAAATGCATTCTACGAAGCAGTGTCTATCCTCTAGCCTAGAGATCCTTGAAACTCAAGACAAAAGAGCTCTTTGAAAGATATTCTTTTGGCCCAAAGCTAATTCTTAAGTGTGCAGCAAATTGGCAAGGTTATGAACAGAGCGTTTGAGGCCATTGGTAAATAAGAACATATAAAAGCCAAGAATAGAAGGTGAGGTTACAACCCAAGAGCATCCCACATGAAACTTGTCGATCTGTAGATTCTGAATATGGAGGACAGCTAAAAACATCTTCCGTGAGAATAAATAAATCAGGGGATAGAGTATCCCCTTGATGAAGTCCATGAAAAGATTTAAAAAATCCATACTGCTGCAACTTTAATAATGAGTACTAACAATTAGACAAACACCTCTAAATTCAATCGCCCAAATCTCAAATAAACTAACTTGTGCAGAACTTGCAATAAGAAAGACTACTCGAGGCGGTTATAAGCTTTGGCCATGTCCACCTTAACATTTTGCCACAAAAACATTTTCTATTCAAATGGTGATTCATTTCATGAGCAGGACAAATATTCTCATGAATACTCCGACCCGATACAAATCTTGATTGTTCTGATGAAATTAGCCTAGGAAGGAACAATGACAACTTCATACAGAGAATCTTGGTGATGATCTTGTATGAAAAATTACACAAGCTTATACGGGCATAAATCTGAATATCTGAAAGCCTTCCCCACTTTAGGGAGCACCACCAAATTTGTAGGTGTATAAGCTCAAGGCAGGTAACCTCCTCTGAAAAAAGCTGTACAACAGCACAAACATCATCACATATAATTGATCAACATTAGATATAAAAATTACTTGTGAAACCATTTGGTCCTGGAGCTATCAATATCTGGAGATTTAACTTCTTCCTAAATTTAAGCCACATCAAGTATCAAACATAACTTTTCATTGTCAGTAGAACTGATAATAGAAGGGATGCAGTCCAACTTCAGTTGATCAACAAAGTGACTGTCTAAAGCGAACAAAGAACATAAATCCACAGCCTATGCACCTACTTGATTAAGGTCTTCACAATATGAGATATTATCTCCCTTGAGCCGAAACTGAGAGGCTATATACCTTTCTTTAATTGATGTAGTATTCCTGGCCCCATCCAAGATCCATTTCACCCAATCTTTTTCCTAATGCTATGTTTGAGAGTTTACTAGTGGAGGGGAGGGGAAAGAAGGGAAGGGGAAACAAGCTAAAGGAAAGGAATGGGAGGGGAAATGCAATAATCATGTTTGGGAGTTTAGTAAAAAGAATGGAGGGTTATTATTTATTAGCCGTTAGATCTGTATCATGGTGATCCAAAATATTTTACTTCCTCTACATACCAATTTGGAGAGGAACCAAATTATATAGAATGGATGTGAACAGATGTAAACTTTGTCACTTCCATCTCCATCCATTCTCTTTAAAAGAAATTCCCAAACAAGGTGAATCGATTTACATTCCTACCCCTACGCCTTATTAACCCTCATCCAAACAAAGCATAAAGGATATCCGTCGCTTAAGCAAGGGATTGAGCCAGAGAAACACAGACTCGTTGCAGCTCAGTATCAACTAAAAAGGACCAACATTGTAGGTTATAGTCAATAAAAAATCATGAATTTTGGGCTATATATATATATATATATATACTGCACATTGTCAAATATTTTAATTATTTACTTTAAGTTTATTTATTTTCTATAACATGGTTATCAAAAGGTTTATAATTATCATAATATATTAAAATTTTTATATTTCCATGGGTAAATTCTTGGGGTAAATTCTTGTTAGATTTAACAATTTGTCTTCCAGAAAATAATAATGTTTAAAGCCTTAAAATATTATTGATTTAAGATTAATCAGTAATTTGAATGTATAATTTCAAAATATTAATGATGTAAGGGACCAATATGGAAAAAACTATTATTATTAATAAAGAAAATAAGTTATTGAATTCATCAAAGAAATTGTAGGTTTTATCTAATCATTAATGATTTTGTTTAGTTATAAAAAAATGACTTCCACCTATTGTTTACTTCCACCTATTGTTTATCCGGTGTCCGAGTATTACATATATTCAAGAACTTTTTTCTAGAATTTTCTAAGTTAGAATGTGCAAATTCAATCAAGAACGAAAACATAAACTATGTGATCAATTCCAATTCTAAGTTAGAATGTGCAAATTCAATCAAGAACGAAAACATAAACTATGTGATCAATTCCAAAATATGCTATTGTACTCTTTTCATATCTCAACAACTATTAATTTATCTATCAAAACGATTACTCTCTAGTTTCTAAAAATTATAAAATATACTTTGAGAATGATTTATACATATTATGCACTCATATTGATTGTATTTTAACAAAATAATTCATATCCATCCAATGTCAAACAATATCCAAAAAATTATGTTAAGAAATTAGAAGAATACAGCTTCCGCAACAATACTCATATCCGAGTTATGAGCTTCATTAACTTATAAGAAGGTGAGTAATATAAAATAACAACTTAATTTACTTTATCCAATATTTATTATAAATCATGAAAGACAAGGGGATTCAGAAGGATCACATACTTATCCCAAATAAAAATTAAGCTTCTCTTAGAGATTTTTATAGCAAAAAATTTTCAGAGTTGATGTATAGGATAAATTTAAAGACAATAACCCAAATCAATTCATTGAGTGATGGTCTTGCTCAGTGTTTTCAAAGGCGCGCGCCTCATTGCGCCTCATGCGTCTTACGATGCGGGATGATGACGAAATGCCCCACATCTGATGCAGTAGCGCCTTTTGCGCCTCGCGTACATTCTTATTTTGTGTAGGGTGCATATAGTACATATCCTCATATAGTTTTATTTGTTAATATTTCAATCAAGTCTTTATACTTGATATTCCATATCTCAAAAAGCAAAATATATCCATTAGGATTTGATTTAAAAATTTATGAATTTTATTACTATGTTGGTTGTTAGCATTAGAAATTAAGGTATTATATTGTGATTTTGTAGTAAGATATTATTTATCATGATATTTTTTATATAAATTCTAAAAACATGTTCTTTCACACTTGATTACATATATTAAAAACTTATGTGTGCGGTGTGCGCCTCGCATCACTCGTGCACGCGCATCACGTTTTGCCTTGCGCATGTGCGCGTAAAGATGCTTTACGCCCCGCATTACGCTTTGCGCATTGACAACACTGGTCTTGCTATAAACTCCACTCTTATAAAACTGATGTCACACGTGCCTTAAGTTTTGCTTTTGGTTAAAGGTTGATTTTGAAAATGCCCCCTCAACTATGGGGCAAATATGAACATCCCTTCCCCCCTAAAAAAACTATTTGAAACTGTGTAAATCTCCGTCAAGTTTTGGGTATTTTGCAGGTGATCTATCTCACCGTGAAAAATTTGATTTAACCCCTCTGAACTTTTCTCACTTAGACCTAACCTCTCAAAACTAATA